GTCTGGACACATGGTTGGACATATCTGAGCGGTACAACTCGACTCATCCCATCACCCCGACAACTCCGACTAGTTTTCGTGAAACGCATGGGCCAGGTGAGTTCCTCCCTGTCCTTGTCTTTTGTTGCATCCCTTTTACATTTACAAAGACCAAAAAATATGTTTGTAGCTTTTTTACTGAGAAATATTTTCACCAAGAATGTTTTGTAGCAGTTATTTTTGTAATTGTTGATGCCTGAAATTTCTGAGAATTATTATCATTGTTGCTGATGCTTTTGTTAGGAGGCCAGTTAATGTGTCCTGTCCTTTGTTAATGTAAATATTTAGACCTAAGAAGAGGAAATAATAAAATAACGGAGAAAAGTGCATGGTAGAAAGAATTTACTGTATTAGAAATCTGTAGGATGGGAAATGATGTGCAGAAATGGATCACAAAATTGTGTGTTTATACCTTTTGCTAATTTTATCATATTGATTGAAGTATTTCAAGGAGAGTAAGCATATTAAGTTCTTGCCAGAGCTTTTGTTAAAACTGTACAGCAGTATCAGAAGGGAAGTATTTAAAAATTGTTTGCAAATAAAATCAATATTTCTTATTGACTGTACAAAGTTCTGTTCATTCATTTTTAAAACAACTAATCCTATCTGTATGCAAATTTTCATGTGCAGCTATTTCAAACATGTTACATGCCCAGCTGCCAGAATTTCCTTTAATCCCAGCATCGAAGGGTTTCTGCTTGACTCTACGCAAGACTTTGGTTACATTTCGGGATGTCTTGTCTTCAGTGGGCATAAGAGAAGACCCCACCAGTTAGTAGTATGCTGAAACCTAGCCATGCCCAAACCCTAGACTACAAGTAGAGTCGTCTCTGCTGGAATGGGAATGATCATACAGCGTGGCATAGGATGTTGATCGAGTATGTGTGTGTGTGTGTGCTAGAACAGCAATTGTAAATTCAAATAGTTCATATTCAAGAATAAATATTGGGTCAAATGTATGATATAAAAATATACTGTTAACTTACTTGTAGGAAGCTTCGGTTATGAATGATCACTATGAAACCCGTGGTTTCCTTTTGGAAACAAGGACTGATGATAAGGAACTTCAATATTCAATAATACAAACATTTAATTTCTCACGGGTAGATTTTTATTTATTGTAATTTAGTTATGTTGTTCAGATACATACATTGAAATGAAGTTTGTGAGCAAACTTCTGTGCTCCAGTACATTGAGACGGGGTGTTTGCTAATGTTAACGACTAGAATATTTGTAGGCTAGCAAACAGTACTCGTACATGAAAGCTACTCAATGTACAGTACTATGTAGGTTCCTGATCATCATATATCATCTAGTTTCTTAGGTGACACATGAGTACTGATGGCAGTTTGTTTTGAAATTCACCGGTGTTAACGACGCCACCCACTCCCTGATGTGGCACTCGGACTGCTATTTCATATATTATTTCATAGCAGTGTAACTGAATATGTAAATTAATAACTTTGTTAATATTTTAAAAATAACTCTTATAAGTTGTATAATTCTTAGCATTATTGTAATATTGTTTGATGATTAAATGGGTTTAAGAAGTACAATGTACACAAATCAAGACCCAGCCATCGTATTGACATTTGTATGTAATATGGTTCTTGGTTTCTGTGCTGGATTAGATTAGCATGATCAGGCATAATGAAAGTCAAGGAGCATGCACTATTAGAATTTTATTGTGCCGTCTTTGGTTATTGGTCGGTGGTTATGGGTTTATGTTTTTTATACAGATTTGAAATTGGGGAAAAATCAGTAATTGCAACGAAACACTACCGGTAATATAAAATGTTGATGCACTACCTATTTTAAGTATTTAAGATTTTCAGTGAAATTGTTTTGTGATAATGAATATGTGAGTTTAATTTCTATTTATTTCTGTATCGATCATTCTGTTACTCATAGACATTTTTATTTTTGCCACACTTATATTTGGAAAATAGCATATCAGTTTTAAAGTACAGAATGTTATTTGCTCTCGTCTGGCAAGGAATTGGTCCTTCTTCATGCTTTTGCACAATAGGTCCTGCAAGATGAGCTGTAGATTTAATCTTTATGAAACAAAATATCTTTAAAAAAACATGGCATGTCCTTATACTCGTATTATAAGGAAGTTGCACACTACAGCTTTGCATATTCATTGATTCCAAAATACACATGTTTACAGACTGTTTGATTGGTATATTCAAAATTTGAGCTTTTAATAGAAAACAGGAAATGTATATTATATGACTGAAATATCATTCTTTGTTTGCAAGAAACCACTGCTGCTTATGTTTCACAGAATTTTGCACATCTTGTTACCTGCCATTTATGATCATATTTCAAGTACTGCTTGTATATTGTTGAAATGTACTTAAACAAGCACAATAAAAAAATTTTGTTCATTAACTCACTGTTTACAAGTCATGGTTTTAATGATATGTAACAACACTGTCCTTTAGATATTTCTAGATGATGTACAAAATGCTCCTGGCCCAAGATCCTGTTACATTGTGTTTAATTGAAATTTATACAACCTTTAAAACTGAAATGTATGAGTCATTTACATTATTTAGGAAAGTGAGAGATATATGATTCTGAGAAACTGTTCATGCAGGCCAATTACAGTTGGTATTAGGTGTACTTGGCTTCTGTGCAGGTCCTTTGTATAGTACAGCTTAACTATGGTAGAAAACGTATGGCCAATAATGAAAACTTTGTTATAGAGAGTGAAGTCCAGTTTCTTCATGCTGCATATATTGATAATGTGTAGAATTTTTTTTATCATAATTAAGATGTTAAGATCTTTTGCAACAACTGTATTTTTACCCCATATATTATCCATTATGTGATTTTTTCCCGCTGTAATGCAGAAACCATTTTTTGTTTTCTTCCATCCATCTTGGATAATTCTCATGTAGACAGTTGGTCATACCGCTCTTTGACATGACCCGATAAGTCAACAAACATTGTAACAGGAGCAATATTTCTGCAGCTGCTTCTGTGGTATCCACTGCAACCTGTTAACAGCAAACTGTGGCTGAAGGTAGTTTTATATTATGGTGTTGGTCATCATGAAAGGAGGAAACACAGCTCTCTTCCAATAATGTACAGTGATCAACTGAGACCAGTGGTTGAACCCAAAATAATCAATGTCTTTACAAGTGTAAACAACAGCAGTAATGGTGTCACTAGTCGACTCCCTAGAATGAGCAATTTTCCAGATTTATAAGTATCACTATATTGAGATTGCACTGTATCATTTTCAAAATTATAGATGATGGACAGAGTCCAAAAACCCAGAAATACTAATTATAACATACAAGTCCCAGTAAGAATTTTGTTGTTGCTGTTGTGTAACTCATTTGTGGTATCACATTTGAATGTGTGTTCCAATTGTTAGACAGTCATTGTCAGGTCCTAATCTGCACTCTTCAGTATAAATGAATGTATGGGAATGAAGGGGGCCCATGTCAGTATTTTTTCACAGTGGTGGAATATAATTATTTAAGTTTAAACCATGAACATCTATGAAAATGGAAAATATCCCATTCTGATCTAGCATGTTAGATTTCAGCAATGTTCTACAAATTGTATGAAAAGGATATATATGTTTTCATAACTGTATTCTGATGGTGGGATCTTGAACTGTCAATGTTAAATAGAAAGCATCTACTCATTCCTTAGCTTCAGTACATTGCAGACATGTGGCAACAAGTATCTGTATAGATTTCATGCAAAATTTAATTCTCACACACACATCAGTGCAAGATATATATTTTGTTATTTTTTGCCAATTCTGAGTTTACGTTTTCACTAAATAACCAGAAAAATAATATGATGGCTGTCCTGCCCAGAACAGAAACAATACTATTATCAGATTTCTTGCAACTCTAACTGCTGGTATGAGATTCAATACCAATTCTTCTCTGTCAGAGGACACTTTTCTGCCTTGACAGGGATTTTGGGCTTAGTGAGAAAATTTCTAAAATAATTAGGGTGTAAACACCAGAAGATTAGCAAATTAATTGATAAATCAAGCATTAAAGGAAAATTTACAGTAACCAAATGCAATGACAGCTGCAAACAGTGTATAAACTGTAGTGGCCAGAATTTTAAAAAGGCAGTACAACATGGTAAAACTTAATAGGCCCTAGAAAGTTAATTTTACCATTTATCAGTACCAATGTGTTAATACAGCTCTCAAAGACCACGACCACATGTCATGCATCATATTACATAATATGATTCGGATTTTATCAATTAGTTGTTTCATGTTCACACAGCTAAACATACATATTACCCTGTGGCTTAGTATTCACAGGTGGTTGTGACGTCAAGTTATAGTTTCTGTGATCAGTGTAAAATTTGAGAACTAAAACTGGAGATTCGTGAGTTGTATGAACGGCGGTGTCGAATTTTAGTTCTTTCGAAATTAATTTGAGAGCTTATTATTGCGTGACTTTATACTCCCGAGGTGAGGCATTTCATGTGTTCGTACGTTATAATTGGAACTGTGTATCTTTGAGGCTGCAATGTTAGTTAAATCTTTGTTGTATTCGTTTGCAAATTGAAGGGTGGCCTAATACTTTGGCTTATTACACAAAGTAGTTATGTTTCGTTATATTTTTCGTGCATTGCCTACACGGGTGTCAGATTATTTGACAGCTTCATATTTTACAGGTGGGTTCGAAATTCTTATCACCATGCATGAGCTAAAAGAGCAAGTCATCGTGTCTACGTTTAAAGTTTAGTCACAGATACAAGTACTAAGATAAATACTAATTAGATACTTCCCCATGAGTACTTATACATTTAATATAATTACTAATTATACTTGCTACCCACCACACTGTCTACTTTTTAATATAATAAGTATGAAAAGAGTATCATTTCTGCATCAGACTAGGGGTTTCAGTGATGTGTTCTAACATACTAGTTCTTTTTATATTTTCATAGGTAATTGTGTTTAGTTTTATTAAAATGTAGCTTCATTGCAATGGGTAGAAATGTAAGACAATGGGATGGATCAACTATGCCTACTACTGCTCCCCATATAAGTTAGCAGAGATAAGTTGAATACATTTGCCAGTCAGCTACTGAGGAATGTGGCTTCAATATTCTTGTTATTTCCATAGTTTCAGCGTGGCGTGCTGTTGGTTTTCGAGGATTTCACAGTCAGACAGAAGTAGTGTCATTACCAGACATGCAGATTCATGTATTGTCAGCTCTTCAAGATAACTATATGTACTTGGTGAGTTAAATTACTTTTAGTTGAGTTACTTTAGACATAGTGTATACAGCCTCACAGGTTGGTTTTGTTTCTTTTACTAATGATATCTGCTGGTAATTTTAAATATATTTAATAATAGGGCTTAATTCAGAATTCATACATGTTCTTTCATACATTTCCATCTTGATGCTGTATTATCGTAACGTAAGATAACATTTGTAGCGAGTTGCCCATAACATAAGTGACTACAGACTTAAGGTGTAATTAGTGAAATCACTGCAGAGGTAATATTTACTTGATCTCTGTCTTATGTACTAACTGTACAAGTTATTTCATAGAACTGCTTTCACCATAAAATCATAAATTTTGTGTTTTGTACAGTGTGAATGGACATGATCACAAACAAGGAACATTGATTAAAAAGATGTGGTGATTTTACTATAATATCAGTTGTTTGCCTTGACTGTTACTTTGCTGAACAGAATAAGATGCAATTATCCCATTTATGCATGTACCCATTAGCAAATTATAATTGCATGTACCTGATTTTGTTTGTGTGTTCATTGCATGTTTTATCACCTACAATAAATAAATGGACATCAGTGAGGTTTGGGGTTACGAGCCTGTAGCAAAAGTCATTGGGTCAGTTCAGTTTTGGTATACAACATGTTGCAGTTTCGATTAAAATCAAACAATAAGTCACTTTTCATGAAGACCTCATTCATTTCTGTGCACTGTGCACTGAAGTAATCAGGTGGTGAATCTCCAAGGTACCTCGTTTCTTATTGTTAACAGATTGTGGATGAAGCAACGAAGGAGGCAGCTATTGTTGATCCTGTGGCCCCACAGACAGTAATTGATGCTGTAAAGAAACATGGTGTTAGACTCACCAAAGTATTAACTACACATCATCATTGGTTAGTTATAATGCTGATGATCTTTGTGGTATCTTTTATTTTTCTCTAATGACAGATTTCCAACAGTTTTATAAGGGAAAAGGCAATAAAATGTATAATATCTTTATTTAATGCATATGAGATGAAGCGAATGTGTACAAAGCCTCTCCTTTCTTGAATGAATGGGGGGTGGGCTATTAATGACTGTAGTACTGCAACATATTATATTATGTATTTTTCATCCCTTTCTGTGATTAGCCCTCTGGCAGTCCCGCAGTTTGAAAGAAGTACAGTACTTTACTTTGTTTAATAGGGTCATGTGGTAGTTGATTTCATTAAGGGCTGTCCAAAATGGTGAAATCTTCATTCATCTTTGTTACAAAATCTCTTGTAAGTTGTGATATTTATCAGGCCTGATTTGGAACATGAGAGCAGCCTGTTGGTAGTACGGTTCTTGAAAGAAATCCTTCACGTTTTCATCCAGGTCTGAACTGCCTGTATTCCTGGTGTTTTCTGTTCGTCCAGTCCTGATGATCCACTTCCTGCTTTTTCACAAGATGCCACAGTCTCGTTGAGGTCCTGTGATTGGATATTCAGTTGCCTTTTTGCCAATTGATCAATGATTTCATTCTCAGTTCTGCTATGTTCTGACACCCAGGGATCATGCAGGCGGAAATGAGAGCATATCCGAGAAAGTTGCCGGATTGGAAGTTTGCGGAGGGGACGATCGTATCGGAGCTCTTACACGCAAAGTTGGTCATGGTGATGAATTAAAAATTGGACAGCTGAATGTACGATGTCTGTTTACACCATGTCACACTTCAGGGCACATCTGCTACTTAGTAGAATCGCCTGGCCATGATCCAGCAGTTTTTACAGGTGAACTTATGCGTTAAGTATGGGGTCCATTTGGCAGCACACTCTATGCTTATATTTGTTAATAATATAGTATGTGGGGGGCAGAGGATTTTTCCTCTAGCCTCTGTGTCCAGACCGGTTCTGGGGCCCACCCAGCCTCCTTTCCCGGGGGTAAAGCGCAGCTGGGGCGTGATGCTGACCACTCACCTCCATCTAGGCTGAGGTCATTAATGAGTAGGAGCTTTACCATCTCTCCTCCCAAATGTCTACACGGCATCTCATGGGACAGCTTTACTTTACTTTTAACGCTGAATAACGTTTATAAAATCACGGTACACTCGATGGAAACTGTAAGATGTAAGGTAACGCTAGTGCGTAACTTCTTCAAACGCCAATAACTCGAGAGCTATGTAAGATAGAGAATATAAACCTATATGTAAATTAAAGAGTAAATAAAGGGCTTTTTCTACATGATGTTTACTTTACGTCATGTCTAAAGCGTAAGAGTTAGATCGGGACATATTTAGAGTGAAATATGTAAATAAACACGAGCTTTTCAAATTTGCAAACAGATTTCAGCTAACTCCTACGGTTTAGGAGTTTTGGACATTTATTTGGTAACAAAGAACGGTTCTAGAGCGAGTTTGTCGAGTACATGATGCAACACATAGATAAGCTGTCGGCGGAAGTGTCAGTCATTATTGTGTAGGTTCGTTTAATATTATTTCATTTTCCAGGTGACACCCTATTTATTGCTGGTTGTGGCAGATTTTTTGAAGGAAGTCCTGATCAGATGTATAAAGCACTTGTTGAAACTCTGGGAAAACTCCCTGATGAAACAGTAAGTTGCGTCATTAATTTATCTCTGTCTGTGGTGTCTCTTGTAAGGGCGGTAGAGCACATTGTCTTTGAGGACAAAAACGTGGCAGGTCACCCACCAAAAATATTTTCCCTTTACAAGAATTCGTTAATGTGCAAGAACTCCGAACACCGAGTAAGAAATTATTTTCCACTTTTAAAGCAATAATCAAAATTAACCAGTGATTCTAAAATTAGCATTTGCATTGATAATTGCATGTGTAAGCATGCAATGAGAGTAATCTTTAATGTTTGCTTTATACTCCAAATTATAGATCAGAATTTATTTTAGTCAATACATTTAGTAGTATTGCAAACATTAAAGTGATTAAAATCAATTTTGTTTGTATGAGCATGTGTGCATAGAATTGCTCTCATAATGAGATCAAAATTTGCTGATTTGTTTTATATTGTCAGAATATATCTTCAGAAATATAGTAGCTGTAAATGAAAAATTTGATCCAAACTTAAATATACAGGTATCCCTCAATTTGCGCCAATTCAGAATAACGCCGATTTTGAAACCAGCAAGTCAAAAAGTGAAAAAAATATATTTTACTATTATTTCTAACGTTTTACAATGTTTCTCATACTGATTCTTATACTAAATCGTAATTCTTACATTGCTGAATTTGAATAAAAATTATAAATACAGTCATCTCTGCAATTACGTATGTTTCGTTTACGCGAATTTGCTCCAATGAGATCGATGAATCGGTAAAAGCTGTTTGTGAAATACAAACTTTTGCATATGCGAGTTTGCTTTTATGCATTTTCATTCCTGGCGCTTTAAACTTTCAAAGGACTAATTTAATCTCTGCGGAGGTACCGGGGTTATTTTTACTTCGCGATTTTCTATAGGTCGGCGTCTTACGTGAATGCAACTATCGCATAACAGCAGAGATGACTGTACAAATCAATCACATGAAAGAATCGCAGTTGATCACGGGGACCAACGAATTGCCGATTGTAAGTGTATAAAATATTTTTTTTTTAAATTCGCTTTATTTTTTTTAAATTATTTCGGAGCTTTAAATGTAATGCCATTATATTACTCGTCAATGTTTGGCTGCTAGGAACGCATGTCATTGACTTCCTGTTGATTTACGTTATAAAAGATTTCAATTTACACCGGTTTGTCCAGGAACGCATCCCCGGCGTAAATTGAGGCAAAGTTGATGTTAATGTTGACATAAAATTAAAGTAGAAATATATGGTACTTTTATTTTATAACAATGAAAGTGTGTCTAAGACAATACAGATAGTGACTGGTGTGGCTGTATACATTTCATAATTATGTACATATTTAAATGTGCATAATGATAATGTGTTCTTAGTGTTGTATGCAAGTCCTAAAATGTTAGGGGAAAGAATGAAGGACGTTTTGAGTCAACATAGATAAGCATCGATTTTAATTTACGGATTTCGTAATATTTAATATTCTTTCTTCCCTATAAATATTTCAGAGAGTGTTTTGTGGACATGAATACACAGTTGGAAACCTGAAATTTGCTCATCATGTTGAACCCAATAACATTGACATCGAAGAGAAAATGTCATGGGCTCAGAACAAGCGAACAAAAATGGAACCGACCGTACCTTCAACAATTGGTAAGTCCTGGATCTTGTTGCATCTGCCTGTATTGAACACTGGTAAGGCAAGAATAATCTAATGGGAAAAATATTTTACAGTTTTATAGGAAATATTAGAGGAATGAAGTTTGTTGTTGTTTGTTGTTGGTTGTATTATGTGAATGGGAAAGTACGGAAATGTCAAGGGCATACGAGCAAAGTGAAGACGAACAAATAGAGAGGGATCCAAAGATTGCGGGAAACAAAAGATTAGAGAGATTGGTGTATGGGTTAAATATGTTTATTTCATGAATTTATTATAAGTTTTATGGGTTCCAGGTGAAGAAAAGCGGATCAATCCTTTCATGCGTGTGCATGAGTCAACAGTACAACAGCATGCAGGACAGAATGAAGCCATCGCTACTATGGGATTCATCAGGAGAGAAAAGGACAATTTCAAGGCTTAATTGTGTTCACTGGTCCAGGTCTGGATGGTAATAATTGACACCATATCTGTAACATATAATTTATTTAAGGAATTGAGGTTTTAATTCAGTAGTATATATAATAATTGTGGAATAGTTTCAGAGTGAAAGAGAAACTAATGGTATAAACTATGAAGTTAGGTTAGTTGAAATTTTATATGATGTTCTGAATTTATTGCATGAGACAATTTAAACCAAATGGTGTACTCAAGGAAGTTTAAATAACCTGGCTTAAATGTGGTAAAATACAGTAGTATGCCCAGTAAGCTAAATACTGCACCTCAAAAATATCTTTTCACAATGAATACTACACATAAATTCCATTCTTTGTTCTTTACATCCATTCCGACAGTGTGTACATTCTATAAGAATATACGACAGGTCCAGTGACATCAGGTTGAAATGTCCTCATTAGGTGGCTTGGTTCTATTGCTGTAAATCTGCATTTCTACTGCATATTTCTCCTTTGATTTTTCATACATGTCATAGTAAATCTGAAAAATCATATCACATATTAAAATTTCATTCAATTATTTGTCCTTCCGGAACCATAAATTTAATATCTGTACATATTTATTTTACTAGTATGAAACAAACAAATTACACTGAATGCTGCCAGAAATAATTTTAAACTAATTAATTTAAATATTTCTATGACTTACCAACAGCAAATTATTAAAAAAATTCCTGGCAGCATAAAATAGGCAAGAAATTAGTAAAAAGGTACAGGGGTACAAAGTAGAGATTATTTTTTCTTCAGTTTTATTCTCATGACCACTCACCTTCTTATCTTCAGGTGGTAATGTATTCCACTTGCTTGCCAACTGTCTTGTCAGCTCCTGTTTTGAGGGTTCGGCTTCCCCAGACTTTTGTTCTAATCCAAGTCGCTCCATCACGATCGGACGTTGCTCTTGACAGAATTGAAAGAATGGATTTGCTGGGCGTTTTGGTGCATTTGGATCGCGCTCTGGCTTATCGGCGCTCTTGCCACTCTTTCGTTTTGTGCCGGAACTGGCGACTGTAGTACTTGTAATCTTCCTTCCTCCCTTCTCTACTGAACTTGCAGACTAAGACAGTAGTAATACAGTAGCAAAATTTTGAGATTCAGTAGCAACTTCTGCAATTATACCTTGTAACTTCATTACTTATAGTACATCCAAAGTTTTTCTAAAAATCAATTAAACCTTATTTATGTGGTTGAATGTAAGACTGAACTACTTTCATCGTGATCTCACTATCAGTAATGTTACGGACATTTATGTTAGAATATGCACATTCTAACTGTAGCCCAAACTTTGGCTGCTGAGGAGATTTGTTTTAATCTTTTTAAGCCTATTTTCTGTATATGAAATCCCTTGCCTAATTTATCCTTGTGATTTTTTATATTATTATTTGCCTTATACTGATGTAGTATTCATTGTTATGCATTTTCAGTAACATAGTTATAAGATGTAGAAGATAAAAAGGTACAGGGAACATTACAAGACTTAAATGTTTCAAATTTGTTATAATAGCTGCATCTGCAGCCTCTTGGAACTGTCGGAGAGCAAGCATTGATGTTCCTCATAAAAGAATTGCCATGGCAGTGAGAATTTTAAGAACCCCTGTAACAAAATAATCCCACAAAGCAAATGTTCCGTGGCCTTCTGTCTGGATGGACCAATTAACATTTTTCCAGTCTTGTTCTGTACTGTACCTTTGCTGTAGTTCCAGCTCCGAGCTTTTGATGTTGGTTCTTATCAGGTTTAGTGGTAGTTGGTATATTGAGGGGCTCATCTAGAGGAATTGGTAATTGTACATTGCGCCAATTGTCACCATGTTGATCCAGACGATCCATTAAAAACCTGTTTGAAGATTAGTAATAGAAAGGTTCTGTCTGAAATTAATATTGTGTTATATAGTTGATTCCAAACAGTTTTATATTTGGCATGTGCAATAATGTATATATGTTGGTATAAAAAAGTTAAAAATATACTGTTTTCTAGTCTCTATCTTATGTTAACAGTGCACTTTGTACTTACTTACGCTCTTTCCTTGATCTCCATAGCATTTTCCGAACTTGCTGAATCCTGTGCACTAGTCGTTCATTATCCTACAACAACAAAACATTTATTATCCAATACAAGGGTATGGAAAGCTTATACAGGTGATTCTCATTATATGTGCTTTCAGTATCCATGGTTTTATTTCAGTATTATGAGGAGCATCAATTTCCTATTCAAGACCAAATATTAAAGCCTGTTACTGCACTGAACTTTCTCCAGGCTTATCAGATAATGTGATGCAGATGATAAACTTGGCATCAAAGAATTCTGGTGCCAGTTTATTTATTTTTTATTAT